TCAGGGCAATCCCAAGCACAAGTAAGTACACGCTAGGTGGAGAATGGATAGAAAGCAGCCCTGAGGAGAATGACTTGGGGTGTTGGTGGGCAAAAAGCTGGACATGACCGGCTGTGTGTGCTGGCAGCCCCGAAAGCCAACCGCATCCTGGGCTGTATACAGAGCAGGGTGGGCCGGGTGATTCTGCCCCTGTACTCTGCTCTTGTCAGACCCCACCTGGAGTGCTGCATCCAGCTGTGGAGCCCTCAACATCAGAAGGATATAGACCACGTGGAGCGAGTCCAGAGGAGGGCCACAAAGATGATCAGAGGGCTGGAGCACCTCTCCTATGATGAAAGGCTGCAAGAATTGGGCTTGTTCAGCCTGGAGAAGAGAAGGCTCTGGGAAGACCTCATTGCAGCCTTCCAGTACCTGAAGGGGGCCTACAAGGATGCTGGGAGGTGACTTTTTACAAGGGCCTGTAGTGACAGGACAAGGGGTAATGGGTTTAAACTGGAAGTGGGAGGTTTAGATTAAACATCAGGAAGAAGTTCTTCACAGAGAGGGTGGTGAGGCACTGGAACAGGTTGCCCCGAGAAGCTGTGGATGCCCCCTCCCTGGATGTCTTCAAGGCCAGGCTGGATGAGGCTTTGAGCAGCCTGGTCTAGTGGAAAGTGTCCCTGCCCATGGCAGGGGGGTTGGAACTAGACGACCTTTAAGGTCTCTTCCAACCCAAACCATTCAAGTTTCGGAGTCGCATATGTATTCTGCGAGGTCATCTGGGAAGGGGAAGGAAGGCAGGAGCGGATGCGCCTACCTCACCGAGCACGGACCCATTTCTAGTCCACTGACTCTCCTAAGTTCCCTCCCTCTGCCTGCTGGCAAGAGGATATGGGTTCAGCTGTGAACTGTGTGCCCTCCTTCTGCTGCCTTTTCCATTGAGGTGGGAGTTTGGTGGAGCAAGGACCTCTCTCCTTCTTACACTCCCTCATACTCAGCCTCTCTCCTTCCTCCTTCAGCTCCGCCACCATGCTGAGCAGATCACTGACCTGCTCACACCTCACACAGGGGCCATCTCTGTTGCCCTCGGTTACAAGGGACAGGCTCAGGCACTCCATGCAGCTGCATCCCTGAGTGGGAGCACTGTGTGGGTTGCCACATTCCTCCTAGCAGTGGCATTTCTCTGAGTGGTTATCATGGCTGGGTCCTGTCCGCTCATCCTGCCTTCATGAACTGATGCACCACGCCCTGCTTGCCACTCTCCAAGTCACTTGCGCTCCCTGGTTTAAATCCCTCGCGGTTGCTCCCGGCACCGTCCCCGAGTGAAGTCAGTTGCTTGTGCAGGGGCTGCTGGTATCATGTGGGTTGTCTGGCTCCTTCTTTGCTCTCTGGGGTCCGGGAAACTCCTCTGCTTGCCTCAATTGTGCGCTGAACTGTGGCAGGAGCTGTTGCCACTGTTGAGTCCTGCACTGACTGATGCAAGCCTCGTGTATGGCTGGATAGTATATGGCCACAGAAAATCATCACGGACACCTTCCTTGATCAGGAATGGTTGGGCTTATTGAGATCACCATGACACATAAGATGTTGCAAGGCTCCTGGCAGCCTTCTGTAGCCTAACAGTGGACTGAAATGATCTATTTCTTAGTTTACTACATAAATTTTCAGGTGCCCAAGTCCCCTTTGACAATGTGACCTGGAGTTTGGAGGAAGCAGCCCTACAACAGGTATGTTTGCCTAAGAGGATGATCAAACATGTTCTAACTTAGAAGGCTGTGAAAAGCCAAGCTGCTGCTTCACTGCTCAATCTCCAAGTGCTGAAAATCTGTCCCTTTCCCTGTGGAATCAGTGGCAAAGCAAAGATTGCAACTTGATTCCTTTCCTTGGTATGAGCACCAGTCTATCATCTCTCTAGAGAGCCTCCCTGGGTCAACAGTGTGGGGATGTAAGGAGGTCTGCCTGGAGCAGAAGTTAAAGAGAATTTCTCCACTCTCCTCAGTGAGTTTTAGAGGCTGCTTTGAGGCAGCAGAGGCGGGAGAAGACAGGAACCTGCAAGAACCAACTCCCTTTGTGGATACCTGTGGAAGGAAAAGCATGACATAGTCCTGTTATTTTATTTTCTGGCAATTCTAGTGGAACTTGCAGTCTTTGGTGAGATGTGTCTTTCATGCTAGTAAGGATTGGAGCAAGGGGAGTTGCTGACCCAGGCCTGTCATATGCTGCTGTGGATGGAAAAATCCAAACCTTGAGTAGATTCAGAGAGGAACTCCTCTGTGCTGTCTGTGGAGAATTCCCAGGTGCTTTTCTATGTGCAGGATGCCAAGCTGAAGGACAGCATCACCTATCTCTCCACTGAGACCACATTGGTACCCACATCATGCAGTATCACACAGAAAGGGGAGGGGACAGGGTTGGAGGGGGGACGGAGGGGGGATGGGGACCGTTCCCTGTGGAGTGTTTCCCTCCCCAGGATTGTTTGCTTGTAGACCTCAGCTTGTTCAGCTGTGGCATGTTGGGGTTGTGGTGAGGCTGGTTCCCTGCCTTCTCAGCCCATGCAGCAAAGACAGATGTCATTAACAGCATGCTGGTGTGACTTTTCTGCTGAGTTCAGATCCAGGGTCTTGGGAAAAGAGCAAAACAGTCCAATAAAACTGTCAGGTTCAAGGAATGCTTGGCCTTGAGGGAGAGCCATTGAGGAATGTCACATAAACCACACCAGGCTCCATCAAACCCTCTGAGCTGAAACTAACTGCAGCATGAGAATAGTTGTGTTGGTGCCTGTCCTGCACCTCCGTGTCCCCAAGGCACTACTGATTCTTGACCTGTGGGTCTACCCGTGGGGGTCATGCACACAGTGAAGAAGAACTGGAGATTCCTGGGTGCTGGCAATTGACCGCAGTGCTGGGGTGACAGGCCTCGTCAAGGAGGAGGTGAAGCCTTGGTTCAGCAAGATAGGTGGACAAAGATGGTGCCTCTGCCCCAAACTGTAGGCAGGAGGACCATTAGTGGAAACTCACATGGTCCATGGGGTGTTGTGTGCCTGAGCTGTTATTTTGAGCCCAGCACAGCACCTTCAGGCGTTCCCTTTCTGCATCCAGGACTCCATGTATACCCGAGGGATGCAGGATTTAGGGCATTACCAGGGTCAGCAGGCCGTGGACAAAGATGGTGCCTCTGCCCCAAACTGTAGGCAGGAGGACCATTAGTGGAAACTCACATGGTCCATGGGGTGTTGTGTGCCTGAGCTGTTATTTTGAGCCCAGCACAGCACCTTCAGGCGTTCCCTTTCTGCATCCAGGACTCCATGTATACCCGAGGGATGCAGGATTTAGGGCATTACCAGGGTCAGCAGGCCAAAATCTAAGAAACAAATTTCAAGTGTCACGGAAAAGCATACTTAAATGTTGACATTAATAGTGAAGCCACAAGTTGTTCACACAGACTCAGGGAAGATGGACACCTGAAAAAAGCCATGAGAAGGCAAAGGAGCCGATGTTGCTGTGGGGAGTCTCCATGAACTGCTACCATCTGCCCAGTTACCATCTGCCTGTAAGTGGTAGGATGATGTCCAGAAAGTGACGATTTCCTGCAGGAATATGCAGGGAGCAGATGCTTTGTGGAACTTAGGGCCTGCAGAGCTGGGCTTACACAGACTCTGACAACAGGGAAGGTGGTGTCAGTGCCTTAACATCTTCATCACTTTGCTTCACAATTGGGTAGCCAGGAGGCAGATGAAAGCCCTCATAACAGCCTTCAGGCAGAAAGACCCTCTGCCTGATTTTCACCTTTTCCTCTGTGCAAGGCTGCCTTCAAAGCTCTAGATGTGTATGGCCTCGCTTCTGCCTCGGCATCTGCTTCTGGCCAAGGCCTCTGATATGCCAAGGCTTTTGGTCCAGCTAGTGCCTGACAGTATCAGTCAACACCAGCGGGCTGAGAATAGCCCAGTAGAGACAGATCAGAGGAGCTGCTGAGCACCGAAATGTGTCCCACTGTTGCCTCAATGGAGGGGAGGGGAAGGCAGAGGCGAGACTGTGAGCTGTCCCCTGGTATTATTGTCTCCATATCCCTACTCCTGCCACCATTTGGAGCCATCTTTTTTTGAGCCTCCTTTCCCAGCACAGCTCCATCCAGAGCTAGATGAGATCCAAGAGCCAGAGTTGCTGCTGACCTCATCCACTGGCCTCCTGCAGCCATGGACTCCTCACACAAGGGTTGGGTTCTTCACTCACAGAATGTGTTCCAGGGCTCAGTGCTCCAGGCTCATCTGGGAAGAGATGTAGCAAGGCTGGAAGGACTGATACACATTGGCTGTGAAGTAACCAGGAATGTCTTCCTCAGCTCCAGTGCAGTGCAACCACTGAATGAGGAAGGGTCCTCTTTTGTGCCAAAACTAATCCTCCCCAAAAAGCCACCTTTTTCCCCAAAGCAGACTGGAAGGGCTGCCACAGAAGGAAGGAGGACTCTGAGGCCTAGGCTTGGATGCAGCACAACATTAATGAGTCTAAAGAATAAAACGAGGTGGCTCACAAGGAGCACCAGGGCAGCCACTCAGATGCAATGGAGCTCATGAAGGGTCTTCTTCTGACTTCAGGGAGGCAAGAAGGTCTCTGCTAACCTGGTATTAGGAAAAGGCAGCAGCAAAGGAAATAGAGGGAAAACAGGGTGTAAGAAGGAAAAATAGACATAAACCATACTGATAGACATCCCGGGCTGGCTACTTCCTGACGGCCTTTGTAGGAGAAGCCAGGGATGAAGAGCTACTCTAAATAAAATAATCCAAAGCTCTATCTCTTGTCCAGCACCATGTTCTGAGTTCTTAGAGGATCTTGCCCAGGGACATTGACAGCAGATTTAGCATGGCTGACATCTGTTGCCACAGTAGCGGCTGGTGATGCAGGAGAGGTCACAGCACCCAGAGGTGATGGGCACCCAATCACAGCTGAGGATGCTGCCAACAGCAGCGGAGGTGGAGGAGCCCAAAATGGTGTTCTGTGGGAAGGAGCTGAGGATGGGCCCGGGCAGTGTCACCACCACAGGGGAAGGCTGGATGACAACAGCGGAGTTCTGGCACTGCCTGACACAGGGCTCATTGCAGCTATTGGCCAGCGGGGTTGGGCAGCAGGGCTGCCAGGCCTGGCACTTGTCAGAGCAGGACATATCTTGGGGTTGGAGGTGCACCTGGGAGAGAGGGCAGGGAGGAAGCATAAAACTGAGATATATGAGAAGCAGCACTGCACCCAACCACAGTGGAGCCAAGGCACCTACCCAGCTCAAAGCCCAGGAGCTACCTCAACTAAATCCCAGCCTCTCTGTGCAGAAGACGTCCTTCTCTCCCCTTCTCTTTCCCACAAGAGGTAGCTCCCAGCTCTGGTATAAGAGAGCCCATATCATCTGAGACACAGGTTGAGGAAAGGCTTGATCTTGAAGGAGGAGAAGAGGTTTCACACTCACCTGATTCCCAAGCAGGAGACAAAAGAAGTGGTTGAGAGAGCAAAGAGTTGGGCTGCCTTTTATAGTTGTCCTGCACTGCCTCAGGCCCAGAGGCATCTTTTGTGGAAGTAATAATTTTCTGACAAGCTCATGTCAAATGCAAAACATCCCAGCTAATGGTGTGGGATGTGTCCTGGTTTCCTGCACTGCTGCGTTTTCTACACATTCCCAACCCCCATCATACCAAGCACGTCCAGGACAAAAAGGTTATTCACATGAGACTGCAAGATGAGACAGATGAGTGTCTCTCGTGGTTTAACTCCGGCTAGCATTTCCTGGCTTCTGCCATGTGCTTTCACATATGAAGGCTTCTGTAAGTGCTGGGATAAGGGGCTTGAAAATTTCCAGGGCAGACACACATCAGTGCAGACAGAAGACTCAGCTCAAGACTTGCACCTGCATCATTCTTGTGGGTTTGTCTGTGGTAAATTTGTCAGGAAATGGGCACCGTTCTTATGATTCTTGTCCTGATGCCAAGGAGTCCCATGTGAGAGGACACACCACATCCTTTTCTCTTGCTCCCTCACCTCTTTCTGATGGTTGCTCATTCTTGCACACAGGTGGGCTTCTGCTGAGATTGCTGTATTTTTGGAGCATTTCTTTCCAAATCTTTAAGTGGCACTTATAAGTGTTGCATCCATCCCTTGTTGAAGCCTGAACTGTTGTTCTGCTGAATTTTTTATTAATTTAAATTTGTTAAATTTCTCTGTTGTACCCACTGTTATGAGGTAATGTTTTGGTAATGGTGGAGAGGTTGCAGGTGTGGCCTCTATGAGAAGAGTCCAGGCACTGCCCCCATGTCTGACAGAGTCTGTTCCAGCCAGCTCCAAAATGGACTCAGTGATGGCCAAACCTGAGCCTATCAGTGGTACTGATGGTGTTGCAGGCCAGATGTTCTTTGTGTGTTATTCTGACAAGCCGAAGTGTCAAAGGTTAACTCTTAGAATAATATAGTAGTTCCAGATGGGGTTTTTTTGTGTTAAGCTGTTTTGAGTACATTTTGGTTTTCACTATGTTTTTCTATGTTAAGCTGTTTTGACGATGCTCTGTTTATCACTATGTTTTCCTGTGCACATTGCTAATTTAATAAGAAAACTCAAGGTTTGGAAAGTTTGATACAAGAGATGGGCCCCTTGCTTATCAAAAGCAGGAATGTATATGCTCATTAGTTCCTCAGCAGTGCCCTTGTAAGCTGAGAAGTGTTTTGGTAAATCACCAGATGTTTAAAAAAATTGTCCTTTTTATGAACTTTGCTCATTAAAAGGTCATTATAACAGTAAAAATCACACCCATAGGTCAAAAAGACCCTTGCCCAGGAAAAGATCCTTCCCCTGAGCATGCCTAATAGTGGAAGCAACGTGTCAGCAGTATTATAAATGTATGTAAATCACAAACCACTCATTGTAAAGGGGGTGGACTGGGAAAATGATAACCCTGAAAGTTTTGTGTATAAACAGAGCACAAAGAACTCTAGTGTGCATGCTAGGAGAAGATATCCCCATTGCACCCAGTACTGCCATAAACCAATGTTAGCTTTCCAAGCTACTATTTGCGTGGTTACAATTTTCAGTAACAATGGTGCCTCCATGAAAGCATATTTAAGAAAGGGCAAAACACTGCACAAGTAGTGTGGAATGAAGAAAAATGAAAGTGTCAGAAAAAAATCCTACAAACACTAAGGTCAGAGCGGTGTTTCAGGCGAGAGTGCGGAGATTCCCTTGCAGCCTTTGGGAAAGACCATGGTTGAGCAATATCGCCATTGCAGCCCATGCAGGACCCCATGTCAGATCAGGTGAATATCCTGCCTGCAGGAACTGTGGCCCTTGGAGGACCCACACTGGAGCACTCACTCTTATCCTGAAGGTTTGCAGCCTGTGGACAGGATGCATGCTGGAGCAGATCTTGAAAGACTGCAGCCTATGAGCAGGGTTTACAATGGGGCAAGGCAAAGAAAAATCTGAGAAGGAAGGAGCAGCAGAGTGGAACTGTTGTGTATTGACCACAACCTGCATTCCCCATGACACTGCGCTGGCTGGGGATGGAGGAGATTGAAGAGTCAGGAATGAAAGAGTGAAGTTGAGGCTGTGAAAAACAGGTAGGGGTGGGGTGAACATATTTTAGGATTTTTTTTCCTCTGCTTCTCACCATCCTACTCTGTAAATGGCAATAAATTAAATTAATCTTCCCCAAGTCAAGTCTGTTTTGCCCATGATGGTAACTGGTAACTGATGTTCTACTTGTCTTTATCTTGACCTATGAGATTTTTCACATTTGCCACAACAAAGGACAAAATCAAACAGCTGTTTAAATAAGGCAGAATAAAAAGACAAATATGGATATTTAATAAATCTTACATCCTGGGAACCTCACATTTGTGCAACATCAGATGGAGACCTGACAGCTTTACTCAAGACACCCTGCACAGATTCTGACTGTGGAGAGGTTCCTCCTCCCTCTCATATGGAGGTGCCATTTATTTTTTGTAACAAACGAAACCATACATCTTCTACTGTCAGGCTGGGATATTATCCCTGTCATAACACCCATTGGTGTGCAGCACAAGCCAGCATGGGGCACTCCAGCAGACTCCCTTACAGAGGTACTCATGCCAACATATGGGCTTCTCAAGCCTTAAATGCAAGGCCCAATCAAGAAGACACAGGCTTCTCCAGGTCACTAACTCCTTGAGCACAGTGTCTTTCATAAGGCTCCCAATATGATGCACAGATCAGTTTTCACTGAACTGCTTGGAGAGCTTCTCTGTCCTCAGGAGCAAGTCTCAGCTGGGTATGGCACATGCAGAGTGTGTCACAGTGAGGAGCATAAAAAGGCTGTGGCACAGCAGGAGCTTTACTGCCAAGGGTCTATCTTCCAACCACTGCTGAGTTGCTCCTCAGAGCTTCTGGAGAACTTGACATGTGAGCTTTGGTAAGAAATACATATCAGTAAGATCCCCAGGATGTATCTGCCAGATATGGCTTGACTGCCAGAACTGAAGTCTTTTCACTTCATGTCCAGCATAATGCACTCCATCATGTCGATCTTCTTTCATTTGCAAAAAAGATTCAGTGTCTTCTGAGAAATGACAAAAAGACTCTAGATGTTGCTTTCCTCATGCATCCCAGCTGGAAATATCAGAACTGCTGAGCAATAAGGCAGCCTCACCACTGTGTTGAGGTACCTTCTCAGAGGGCTCAAGGCAGCAGACTTATCATGGACTCACAGGCCAAACATGCCCTCCTTGGGAATGTGCCTCAGAGCTTGTGCTGGGTTGGACCCAGATAGGAGCCCAGCACCCACACAGCTGCTCCCTAGCTTCCCCTGCCTCAGCAGAATGGGAGAGAAAATAGGAAGAACAAGAGCAAGAAAACTTATGGGTCAAAATAAAGACAGGGAAATCACCAGCTATTGTTGCAGGAAAAATAGTCTTGACTTGGGGAATTTAAATATTGAAATAGTGATTTGGGTATTGGAAAACAAAGATCTCAAACATTTAACCACTTAAAGAAAACCACATTTCACCCCACTTCCCTAGCAGAAACTTCACTCCAAATGTCTCATCCCTAGTATCCATATCCCTGTTATCACAGCAGGTTATAAAAAATCAGTCCCTTTGGTCAGGCAACAGGCAGTGTGAGGGGTTGGACTGTAACAGCTTCTTTCTTTCATACTCTCTCTGTTTCTTGTTCTTTTCTTCTGCTTCTCTTTCTTTCTTACTTTGCTGTAAGAACCCTTTGCTGTAGTGTGGGTTCTCCACAGGACACGGTCCCTTTAGGGAAGTACCAGCTCAAGCCACAGGTATCTGTGCTGTCCTGGAGGGGCTCTGTATGATGTGAGTTGGGGAAGTGCAGTCTATAAGAATATATGATGAACACATTACAGACTAATGCCCCAATCTCAGCATCAACAGCTTGCAGGGAGGCTAGCTTGTCTCAGGTCTAGCCATAGGATCATGTCACTGCAGCACTGTTGCATGCATAGGAGCTAGGACTGGTCCCAGAACACTACTGCACTCCTAACGAGATGACCAGGTGTGAGAAAATAATGGAAGATTGACAAGAAGGACTGTAAACACACTCAAGTGACTTGCGTCTGAGCTGTAGAAGAACATATATATCATAGTAAATGTTGTTTATCCTTGTGTGTTAGAAAATTTGAACACCATGTTAGGACTGTGATAGACTTAGAGTGACCCTATTAAACATGCTTGACATTCCTGTCCTGCTGTGGGAAAGATCAGAGCACAACTACAGCTGCGTGAATCCTTGAAATATAGGAGAAAACAGCAAGTTTGGTGATCCTCTAGCAAGGACCAAGCTCCGTGGTATCTGTATTCCTGCTTGTGTGCCTTTGCCCGGGTGCTGTTTCAGGGATCCTCCAGTTCACGAGGTAATGAAAATAAACTTAATCTTTGCGTTACATACATGGTTTTGTGGTTGTTCCTGAGTCATGCCTGTGTTGGCTTGCACACCAAGCCACCAGGAAAAGGTAAGGTCTGATGCCCCTCACCTTCCTGAGCACATCAGAGCTCCAAATGAGGACAGGTGGGCCCTGGCTGAAACTGTACTGTTGGTACAATTCATTGTAACGACAGACCTCATGCTATCACTAGACTTGAACCAGATCCTCTCCCCTTCCTCATTGCTGAGGTGCAGAAGCAGGAAAAGCTGGGGACACAGCAAGAGCAAGAGGAGACTGAGGTCTCCC